CCCACTGTGCCCACACAGCCACTGCCCGCACGCCCACTGTGCCCACACAGCCACTGCCCGCACGCCCACTGTGCCCACACAGCCACTGTGCCTGCACAAGTGTGTATATGTTAAAAGAACCCAGAGCCAGCTCCTGCCACGTGAGGTGGCTGTTTCTCACAAGCCAGCAGGCAGCCCCTGGGTGACGTTGGTTACGTGCACATGTTTGTATGTGTGTGTGTGTGTGTGGGGGGGGGGGTGCATGATGCTTCAAGCCAGAAAGGCTTTAAAGTCTTGGGGGCCAAGGACTACTGTGCTGAGACTTCCCTCAGGCCTGTTCCACAGCAGATTCTCAGTAGATTGTTAGGTTTTATTTCAGGTCAGTGAATGGCCGGCCATGCTCGCCTGTGAGGGGACTTGAGGTGGGCCTGGCAGTTCAGGGGAGGCAGCAGGTGAAGTCGGGGCTAGAGTCCACAGTTTCACCGGCTGTGGGGCTGACATGGCTTGAGCTGGTGGGTCAGGGAGGGCCTTTCACGGGGGCCTTCCAGCACGGAGGGTCTTCCCGCGTTGAGCTTTGGGACTGCTTGGTGCCCCGGCTGTTTTAACCTCCACAGGGAAAGTGCCAGGGGTGCCAGGTGCCCCCTGCCCTGTTCCGGGCATTTCTGAGAGGGGCTGAGCAGGGCTGGATGCTGGCGGCCAGGAGCAAAACAGGACTGTGGTGTTTGGTGAACAGGCAGCACTTCTTGGAGGGCGAATCTCTGCGAGTGAACTGGTGGTCACGAAGTTAGGAGTAGGGGTGAGCAGCGGTGGCAGGCACAGGCTCAGCTGCTGGCGGCTCTCCCCAGCCTCAGCCTCGGGCCTCCTGCTCTGATGCCCTCATGGGGTCTTTCTCCTTCCTCTCCTCCCCCCCCCCCCGTGGCCTTCTTTCCGCTGGGCTTCTTGGGCAGCGTCCATCAAGAGGTTGGGCCCTGGGCCGCAGGGGGAGTGGGGGATCAGAGGGGCATCTTGAATGGGGCTGGGACACTCATGCCAGGGCTGGCCCGGTTTCTTGAAACTGCCTGCTTGGGGACAAGGGCCCCCGGGCATGCACTCCCATTTTACCATGGAAGCGGGAGCAAGAAAGTCAGTGTCTGCTGCCCGGTGCCTCCCTCCGGCCCCGCTCCTCCTCCCGGCCTGGCTGAGCCAGCACTTTTTTCTTCTCTCCTTTATCTGCTCGAAAAGTACAGGGTGTTCTGTTTCTCCTGTGCATACAGATCAAGGAGCGGATGTTATTTATTTATTTCTTCCCCGACTTTTCCAAAGGCTGGAGCAGGACAGGCGGGCACTGAGTGTATTAAGTGATTCTGCTTCCTTAGTAAGGCATGTTCTCGTAAACAGTAGGGGAAAAATCTGAAAGGAAAAGAGGACCTAAGGCAACAGAAAACACATTACTTCCCACTCCGGCCGAGATACCAGCACCTGAGGTCCAGAACCCCCTGTAGCTGCTGGCAGAGCAGTTTGGCGGCCGGGGTGTGTTGATGCCACTGTCCGGAAGGGGGGCCCTGGGGCAGACGCCTCGTCTCTCTGCCCTCTGTGGGTGGCTTGTGAGGATCCTCTGTAGCCCAGTCTGCAGGCAAGGCTGGTGCAGGGGCAGGACTGTGGGGTTCCCCTGAAGGGCAGGGGTACAGTGACCTACGTGCTTAATGCTTCCACCCGGCACCCTACTTGTGTTCATCTGTTCGAATTCAAAGTGTCTGGTATGTGGAGAACTCGGGGTTCTGTGTTCACCTGAGGAGCACACTGCCCACCTGCAACGCCCTCCCCCCAACCCATTTAGGAACCGAGTTGCAGAGTCTGCTCATAACTGACTACAGAACTTTCAGATGATTTTTACATGAGCCTCAGGGATATACGACAATCTCGAGACCCCTACTTGGGGCCTTATTTGGCTCGGTAGTGAGGTAACGAGGACAGGCTGGCGGTTCGGAGAAGGCGGGTGAGCCGGAGCTCAGGTCGCTGGCTGGGAAGGCACACAGCTCCCGGATTGCTTTCTGACGTGGTGTCTGGGGAACCTGGGGGTTCTGTGATATTCCAGAGCCAGCAGGACCCCTGGTCACATTCCAGTCACACCGGGGTGCCACCTGTAAGGTTTGGGGAGTGCAGCGATCACCTCCTTATGTTGCATAAAAGCTTGTTCTGGGGGTGACCTGGGCCGGGCGCTTGGGGTGGAGGCCCAGAGATTGCTCACGGGCACGGGAACCCTACTACTGGGAGACTGGGACGTGGGGGCTGGGCAGGCATCAGCGCCACGTGGCACCACCCGGGAGGGCGCTGGGCAGTAGCCGCGTCGCAGCGCGGCAGCTCTGAGCGCTGGGCGTGTTTACAAGCGTAATGCAGGATCGGGCTCCATCTATCACGGACCCTGCGCCCCAGCTGGCCACCATAACTGTGGGATGCAAGCAGACACCCCCTCACCTCCAGGGAGTGGGCGGGGCGCCCTCCTGAGCCTGGAGACCAACGCGAGGGCCCGGCCGCGGGCGCCACCTTCCGGCGCTACAGAGAACGGGCTCTGTGCCCAGCCGGACTGGCGGGCGCCACTCTGCCCACCGCAGTGCGGGACCCGCGGCGGTGCGGGCAGCTGGTGGGATGTCAGACCTGGAGATGTGTGAAGAAGGAAGTTGGTGTGCAGCTTTTGATAGATGTGTGTATGTGTGTGCATATATATGTGTGTATGTGTGTGTGTGTATACCCATATATATTTATTTAAAGAGTTTTATTTTATTATTATTATTTTTTAAGATTTACTGATTTGTGCATACAGAACTGGGGTACAGGCCAGAGACTCAGGGGCGGTGAGAGGCTTCACCAGAGACAGAGGGGAGCAGAACAGGCAGATCGACAAAGGACACTGCTGAGGGGAGCAGCGGGCGGGTCAGGAGAGGTCTGCCGCGCCATGTGGTCACCTCCAGGACAGGCGGGGATTGAACTCATGCAGAAGTGGCTTTAGCTTCTTAGTGCTGTGCTTTAACCTGCTGCACCACCAGGGAGGGCCCTTTATTTTATTTTTAAAGATTTATTTATTTATGCATACAGACCTGGGGTGCAGGGTGGTGAGAGACTTCACCAGAGACAGAGTGGGATGCAGAACAGGCAGATCGACGAAGTACACTGCTGAGGGGAGCAGCGGGCAGGTCAGGAGAGGTCTGCCACGCCATGTGGGTCAGCTCCGGGGCTGGGGACCGAACTCACACTGAAGTGGCTGCAGCTGACTTGCATTGCTGCGCTTTAACCTGCTGTGCCCCTGAGGAGGGCCCATTGTTATATTATTTTCCATAGGGCGCCAGAAATGTGCTAGTCTCTGTTAGTTTGCGTTGCTAGTGAGAGGCCCACAGCGCGTCCCACTCAGTGGGTCTGTGGATGCACCCTGTCTGTGCCAGTGGCTCGTGTTCATTCACATCCTTCTACCCCCAGGAACCTCCCTCCTGACCCTTTTGGGTCCCTCCACTCCCCAGTTTCTCTCTGCCATCACAGAGCCATTGACCTCTTCATGAAGTTCACAAGAATGTCCCCATATAGTCTGTGCTCTCTCTGGCTTCTTTTGCTCCGCGTGATGTTACTGAGAGTGTGGCTGGTTTGGTTCTGCTGATTGCTGAAGCCCGTTCTCCTATGCGAACCCACACTTAGCACGTGTATTTATGCATCCTCTAGCGGGTGAGCTCTTGGCACTTTCTGGTTATTACAAGTAAAGCTGCTATAGACGTCCGTTTGCAGGCCCCTCTGGTTGGCCTCTTTCTCTTGGACCTGTTCTTGGACGTTGATTGATGGCTGTGTTTACTAGGCAGGAGCGACAGCTTTAGACGCAGCCCGTGTGACCCCCCCCCAGCCGCTGTCTTCCACCTGCATTCACCCCAGGGAGGCCGCTTGGGGCAGGGAGGGAACAGGGCCGGGGTCAGAGTGAGTGGCACCCCAGGACGGCCCACAGATTCCTTCCGACTCTCATGGGCACTCTGGGAATAGGAGGGTAGGCTCGCCCAGCCGCCAGCCAGGCCAGGGACCCCCCCCGCCCCCCAGCCGCCATCTCCCCAGCCTGGCGTCGCTGAGCAAGCTGGCTTAGTGTAACTGTCAATTTGATGTCTGGCTCTGGTGCCACGGCGCTCACGGTCCACTCTTTCCTGGGCTTCTCGCTGCTTTGTGGTGACCGAGAGGCTGGGTGTCTGGGGAAACCAACAGAGACCTACCCAGAATAGCAGAGGCTTGTTAATACCATACCAGCCTTGTGGCACTTTCTGGGGGGGAGGGTGGGCCCATGTCCTGCCCACCCAGCTGCTGCTTCACTAAGGCTGCAAAACCTGACAGGACGCCTGAGGAGAAGAGAAGGAGCAAGGGAGAGAGGGAAGCGCCAGGCACGGGAGGGAGGGCAGAGGTCCAGTGCTGTGTGTGTGTGTGGATACGGGGTGGTGGGCATCTTGAGGCCTGTGGGCATCCTCAGGTCCATGTGAGTATCCCGCATCTGTGGGAGTATCCTGGGGTCCATGTGAGGTGGACCCCAGGGGTCTTCCTGGGCTGAGAGGGTCCGTGGTCAGCAGCACCAGGTCATTTACTCATGACTGACCTCCTCAGACATCCCCTTGTCTCAGCAGCAGGAGAGCGCTAGTGCCTAGCAGGTGGGTGGGAGCGATGGGTTTCAGGGGCTCCCAGGTCTCCTGCTTACTGGTGGGGGGCCACAGTGCAGCCTCCTTTTATGTCTTCCCTGCCTCTCCCTCCCGCCCTTTCCACATCTCTCGGGGATGGCTTTCCCGGTCCAGCTCCTTGGGGAGGAAGGGGAGGGCCCCCGAAGTCGCCCCTTGAGGGCACGGGCCGTGAGCGGCCCGTGGCGCAGTGGGCAGTGGCGTGGAAGGCCGACGGGTGAGCTGTGGCCCCCCCACCCCCCGCAGGTTTCTAGGAGGCGAGTGCGGACGGTATGCAAAGTTGTGACTCCAGTGGCGACAGTGCGGATGACCCTCTCAGTCGTGGCCTTCGGAGAAGGGGACAGCCTCGTGTGGTGGTGATCGGCGCGGGCTTGGCTGGCCTGGCTGCGGCCAAAGCGCTTCTGGAGCAGGGCTTCACGGATGTCACTGTGCTCGAGGCTTCCAGCTGCATCGGAGGCCGAGTGCAGAGCGTGAAACTTGGTGAGTGCCGCTCCCGCCTGCTCGGCCCCACACCCTGGCCCCCGCCCCAAGTCTTGCCTTCTGGCCTCTTCCCTGGGGGAGTAGGTCCGCCCTACACGCTGCCTGCCATATCCCAGAAGCTGCCTTCGCTTCCCTCTGAAGTGGGCAGCTTGGGGCTCTTGCCTCCATTTCGAGGTGATGACCTGGGGTTCATGGTGTTTAGGAGGAAGGGGACACTAGAATCTACCTTTCTTGGCAGTGTTTGTCTTACAGGGAGGGGAATTCTGCAAGTTTCTATTTGTCATTAACTTCTGCATGTGGATGAGTATGTTGTGACTGAGGTTCAGCTCTGGGGCAACAGGACTCAGGCTGCAGAGGTGGGAGGGGTTTTGGGCCTCTGTTGGGGTGACAGGCAGTTGTTAGGGTTGTCTGGGGAGAGGGTCAGTCTAGGGCGCAGCATAAGGAGGACTCGGGAGAAAGCAGCCAGGGAAGAGGTTTTCCCCAGGGAGCGCAGGTTTTGCCAGGGGTCATAGAGGATGGGAGTTGCTTGAGATGCAGCCGGAGGTCAGGGCTTCCCAGCCAGGGGGTGTGAGCCTGGGGCGAGGCCACCAGTGGCCCAGTGGGATGACACCAGTGCCTGCAGTGTGGGGTTATTTTGTGTCTGTCCCCATGTGGGGCAGCAAGGCCAAGCACATGCTGGGCACCCACTTGTGATGGGTAGGGAGGCTGGCCCAGAGAGGCAGGTGGCGAGGTTAGAACAAGCGCACCCCAAGGACATTGGGGACCTTCTCCCTCCTCTCTCAGCCTGAGCACGTGAATTGCCTTCCCTTCAGCACTTGCAGGAGGGTGTGCGTGACTCTACGCTGGTTTTGCTCTGGCACACAGCACTGTGTGTTGGCACTGAGGATGAAAGACCCTCATAAACCTGGAACAGCCAGCCTGAAGTCTGCACTCTTTGCTTGACATGTGATTGGCAGGCTTGGAGCCTGAGGGGAGTGGGGGCTCAATCTTGATATGACCGTCAAGGTCTGACACGGAAGCAGAGGCGAGAGGACAGATGGCCCAGGCTTGTGACAGCTGAGACCTCTGGGGAGTGGTGCTATGAGGCCGTGAGGCTGAGGATGCCTTCCGGGGGAGCGAGCTTGGGTGGGCTTCAGGAGATGGGAGTTGGGGAGGCAGTGAGGAGGAGGAGGGGAAACGCCCAAGGAACAAGCTGTGAGTGAGGTGAGGCAGACCCTGCGGGAGGCACCCTGGGGCCGGTGTGTCTGAGTGCCTGGCCATGGACGCGGCTGGCCCTGGGTGCTGACCGGACCTCATTTCTCCATCAGGATAAGCCAGGGTTTCTCTCTGTAGGGGCACTTTTTTTGGTCACCCATTTTTATTTATTTTTAATTTTTTATATTAGTTTATTTTTACATATTTTTGTGCATTTTCCCATCTCAGTCCTCTTGGGTTTCCCATCACCAGATCACCTATGTGCCATCACCATAGTCCAGTGCACTTCCCTCCCCCCTCTGTAGGGGCCTTTTAAGGGGGTGAGGGAGGAAGCCAGGAGGCTTCTTGAGGCCTGGGCTGTGAAGTTGAGTTGGGAGGTGCTACTCTCTGTCTGGGAGGGGATTCAATGCTGGGGCCACAGGGGACTTTCAGGAACTGGAAGAAGGCCAGATGGGGACCTGGGGTCTCCTGTGTCTACTTGCTGGCATCTCGGGTCCATCACTGGGACCGCTGTATCCTTAGGTATCCCCAGAGTTTCCTGAGGGAGAGGCCTCTAAGAGGAAGGAGGGTTTGGGGGCTGGTATTATCTTAGTAAAAGATGTTTGGTGGGGTGACTGGGCAATCTGGAGTCATTTTGGGTGTCAGTCATTGTCATTGTGCCACATACGGTTTCCCTGGGAACTTTTTACTGAGGATTTTGGTTTTGCCAGAGGGATGCTGCTTCCCTTCCTGCTCTGTTATAGGGAGTGGAAGGATCTTCTTGGAGGATTGGGGGGGGGGCAGCATTTTGGCCCTCTCTGAAGTCCTTGCCCCTCTGAGGGCCTATTGTTGCCCCCATCAGGACACGCCACCTTTGAGCTGGGAGCTACCTGGATCCATGGCTCCCATGGGAACCCCATCTATCATCTAGCAGAAGCCAATGGCCTCTTGGAAGAGACAACTGATGGGGAGCGCAGTGTGGGCCGCATCAGCCTCTACTCCAAGAATGGCGTGGCCTGTTACCTTACCAACCGTGGCCGCAGGATCCCCAAGGACGTGGTTGAGGAATTCAGCGATTTATACAACGAGGTGCGGTGTCAGCAGGGCAACTGGCCAAGGGGGTGGGGGGTGGGGATGCCCTGGCATGTGGGGGCGTTGAGGTGTCTGCTGGGGCCTTCCACGACCTGGATGTGGCTTGCCACTCTCTGGGCCCTGCGTTTGGAAGAACAGGACAGCCTGGGGGTAGAATGAAGATGAGGAGTGGAGAAGTCTTGGGTAAGAGATGATTGATACACATGATTAAATATTCTCCAGAAAGACTTTAAACATTTTTTATTCAGTGGAGGTAGTGATCATTCTTATTGTTTTTTGATATTTTTGTAGATGCTAACTAAAAACAACCCTTTATTTTCTAATTGTTTCTGGTTATAGAAATAGGGAAGATTTTGACATATTTTTAGTTATCTTGCTAAAGTATCTTAATGCTAACGATGTATTGGTTAAAATATTAATTGTATAACTTATAGTTTAATATTTTGGAATTTTATGTATAATCATAGACAAAAAAATGAGTATTTTGATTTTCCTTTTTAATCTTCAGTGTTGTCCAGCTGCACTTTCCAGGGTGATGGGCATGTTTTAGGCTGGCACGCTCTAGTGTGGTAACCACTTGCCACATGTAGCTTTTGAGCACGTGAATGTAGCTAATGAAACCAAGGAACTAAATATCTAATTTAATTTTAATTTTATTCGCCACAGGTGTCTAGTGGCTACTGTATTGGAAAGCACAGCCTCTGACTGTTCATTTGCTTTTCTTGCCTTATTGCACTGGCTGGCATCTTCAGTACAGTGCTGGAGGCAGTGGCACACAGCCTTGTCTGATACAGGTTTATGAAGGAAAGTTAATACTTGTAGTCTCTCTCAGTGGTGCTGTGAGTTGCACTGAACAAGCATGTAGGCCCTACCTGTTGGTCACTTCAGCACCCTTCAAGGTTGTTGGCTTGTTCTGTCATATACCTATTGTAGTTTTTCTTTATCTTTTGGGTGTGGGAAGCAAGGGGACTACTCTTTGTTTTGGGGTAGTCCCTGGTCAGTGGAGGGCAGCACCTTCTGCCTCTTGTGTGTGCGCGTAGGTATAGTGTCTTCATCCTGTGGTACTGTGTGCTCTCACTCATGTACAGAGGCTGAAATGTTAATGAGCAGATAAGAACTAGTATTCTTGAAACTAGACCTTCCTGGTCTACTGGGAGTCAGTCATGCCCCTATTCCTAGGTTGGGTGCTTCAAGCATGCCTCTTGAGAATGACTCAGAGTCTATAGCTTGCTTGTTTGTTTTTTTTTTAAATACCCTTAAAACTAGATCACTATCAACTTTTGTTTGTGGGTTTTGAACATCAAGAGTGTGATTGATGGCGAGTAGAATGGATAAAGGTAGGTTATCCATCTGGGTGGTGATCCTTTGGGTCACAGGGAGGAGGTGTTAGCCATGAGGTCAAAAAATAGGTTTCCTTGCCTGGCTCTTAACCAGCCTGAAGCCATGCCTGCGGGTGACTTCATAATAAATAGGCACCCTCACTCCAGAGATGCCTTTGAAATGCTATTCATTTGAATATTTTTGATAACAAATGAATGTGCATGTACAATAGCATCACACAGAGCTTAGCCTCTAGGGACAACTGACTTAAATGCCTGTCTTACCATTATTGTATAATCTTGAACAAGGCACTGAGTCTCTCTGAGTCTTACTTTCATCATCTGTAAAGTGGGACATTGTTACACCTACTTCACGGAAATTAAGTGAAATCCCAGTGAAAAGCACGCAATGAGAATCGGGGTGAGTAGTGTTAGCTGTTACAGGACTGTCCCATTTCCCTGGGGTCACCTTGGGAGGAGGTCACTTAACCCCAGACAGGAGACTGTACCCATTGGACAAACCCACTCAACTCAGGCTGTTCTGGTTGGTGGCTGACACAAAGACTCACCTAGATGGACCACTCACACCTGTTACTCTTCAGCTGGGCGTTTTGGCCTCTAGTCAGCATAAGCTAGGGACTAGCTACCATGTTCCTTATCACCCAACAGAAAAAATCCAGGGAGGAGGAGAGGTAGTGAGTTGAAAGCCTGACTCACCCAGAGCTACAGGGTGAGGAATGCGCTGAGGGTTCTAGCGAAGGCCAAACCCCCAGCATCTCTCTTGTGACTATAGGGAGGAAAAATGAACAATTTAACTTACTTTCTTCTTTATATCTTATACTTCAGGGACATATTTAATTCATGTTTCTGTCTCATGTGGAGGTCTCTGCCTGGAACGGAATGGCGAGGAGTGGGCAGGAACACCTTCCTGCCACTTCTCTACAGCACTGGGCTGGCCCCAGGACGGGGTAACAAAGCAGATGTGATTCCCCTGAATATGTGCAAATCAAATCCAAGTTCACTTTAGGAAGGGACGCACACTAGTAATTGGTACTGACCATGGATGTTTGGCCAAGGAACCTATATTTTCCAGTGTCCCAGAGGGAGAGTGGGTATGTGATTGTGTTCACAACCCTTCAATGATGCCAGGGCCTTGGATAAATCCAGAGTCCTCGGCATGACCCTTAATCCTTTGTGCCCTGGCCCTGCCTGCCTTTCCACAGTCTTCTCTTGCAGCTTTCTCTCTCTGTGCTGCCCACTTGAGCAAGACTGGACTGCTGTGAATGCAGCTGGCAGGCTGCCTCCCCCTTCCTCATCTTTGAGTATGCTGTTCCTTTTGCCTAGAATACATGTCTACTCCTCCCCTCTGTCAGCCTGACTGTGCCTGACTTCCAGGGTTGACTGGGTGGATCTCCCACCCCCGGGATTCCTTCCCAACACAGCACATACACAGAAACAGTCTTGTTACGTCTCCCCAGCCGAGTGAAGGCAGGGATCACTCACCACTGCAGCCTGTGTCTGGCACAGAGCCCACTAAATGTTTGTTAGGTAAATATTAGGGCTCAGACCTTACCTTTTGGGGATCCCATGGCTGACTCAAGACTGGCTTGCTTTCCTCGGGGAGATGTGCCCAGAGTTTGGTGGGGTTAGGAACGAGGCAGGCAGGATGGGCAGCAGGACCCTACTCCTGGGGACCTTTTTGTCAGTGAGAGGCAGGGGGAGTTCTTGCAGGCAGGTCCCTGGCATGCTGGGGCCTCCCCCCGCCCCATGCACTGCCCCAGGGTGGCCATCTTCCTTACATGTGTCTGAGGTTTGTAGTCAAGTGGGGTGCTTTGCGCGGAGAGGAGCAGGGCCAGAGAGGGTCTCCTGGGACATTATCCCGCCTTTCCACCCAACGCCGGCCAGGCCACCATTGTAGCCTGCTCTCTCGGGAGCGAGTGAAACAGACCTACTTGCAGTGGTGTCCTGTTCACGGACTGCAATGGTATCGAACATGTCACCTTGTTCAGAGTAAGCACCCAACAGAAGAGTGGGGCCCATGCCAGCTCTCACTGGCTCAGGGGGCCTTTGATTGCTTGCCACTGACACACCTAGACCTTGACCCTGTAGGTACAGCCACCAGGTAGCTGATTCACCAAGACAGAGAGGCTGTGCATGGGCCCAGTACTCAGGGGACCCTCGGGAGGTGGCGACTTTAGAGCTGGGCCCTGTGGTCTGAGATGGAGGTGGGGTGAGGGAGAGTATTTTCAGTCTTCTGGGCTCTCTCCGGCAGGTCTATAACTTGACCCAGGAGTTCTTCCGGCATGGTAAACCAGTCAATGCTGAGAGTCAGAACAGCGTGGGGGTGTTCACCCGGGAGGAGGTGCGCAACCGCATCAGGAACGACCCTGATGAGCCGGAGGCCACCAAGCGCCTGAAGCTCGCCATGATCCAGCAGTACCTGAAGGTATCTTTGCTGCCTGGGACTTTGTTGAGTGCAGATGCCAGGACAGACGCTGCGCTCTGGGTCTGAGGAAGGTGGCACTGCTGTGAGCCTCTCCCCTGTCCTGCTCGGCCTTGGTGCTCACCTGCCTTGTCTCTTGTCCCGCTCGCAGGTGGAGAGCTGTGAGAGTAGCTCACACAGCATGGATGAGGTGTCCCTGAGCGCCTTTGGGGAGTGGACGGAGATCCCAGGCGCCCACCACATCATCCCCTCGGGCTTCATGAAGGTTGTGGAGCTGCTGGCGGAGGGCATCCCCGCCCATGTCATCCAGCTGGGGAAGCCGGTCCGCTGTGTTCACTGGGACCAGGCCTCGGCCCGCCGCCGAGGTCCTGAGATTGAGCCTCGGGGCGAAAGTGACCACAATCACAACTCCGGGGAGGGCAGCCAAAGTGGAGAGGCGCCCCCCGGGGACGGGGAGGATGAGGATGCGCAGTGGCCGGTGATGGTGGAGTGCGAGGACTGTGAGGTGATCCCGGCCGACCACGTGATCGTGACCGTGTCGCTGGGCGTGCTCAAGAGGCAGCACGCCAGCCTCTTCCGGCCAGGCCTGCCCGCCGAGAAGGTGGCTGCCATCCACCGCCTGGGCATTGGCACCACCGACAAAATCTTTCTTGAATTTGAGGAGCCCTTCTGGGGTCCCGAGTGCAACAGCCTCCAGTTTGTGTGGGAGGACGAGGCGGAGAGCCGCACCCTCACCTATCCGCCGGAGCTCTGGTACCGCAAGATCTGCGGCTTCGACGTCCTGTACCCGCCAGAGCGTTACGGCCACGTGCTGAGCGGCTGGATCTGCGGGGAGGAGGCCCTCGTCATGGAGAGGTGCGACGATGAGGCGGTGGCCGAGATCTGCACCGAGATGCTGCGGCAGTTCACTGGTGCGTCCCTCGGCGTCCACCTCACCCCCACCCGCCAGGCCTCCCAGCACCCCAGCGCTCCCTGGGAGAATCACCTCTGGGCACTGTGTTTCAGTCTGGCTCCCAAACCATGTCCCGCCCCCAGTTTGCAGCTGGAAATGCCCAGAGCCAGAGCCCCCGTGTCCTTCTCTTTCTAGGTCCTGAAGGGTAAATTCAGCTATCCTTGCAGAACCTCAGGCCACCCATTTCCTTCTCATCTGATCTTGCTAAGGGACGGGCCCATCTTTACTGACACTCATAGTTGCCACCTTTCATCCGCTGTCCCAGAGGAGCCTCCGAAGAAGCCCTGAAGTTGGAGGGGAAACGTGGTTATCTGGAGACAGGGAATCCAGGCTCAGAGAGATGGAGTGTTTTGCTGCAGTCACAGGAAATGTTGAAGGGTGCACAGTCTGAGCCCAGGCGCCCTCCTCTGTCCACCACCCAGCACCCTCCCTGCCTGCACGTGGCAGCTGAGCCCCCTAGGCACCCCAGAAGCGGAGTGGGAGCGGTCTCTTCAGAGGGCTTCTGCTTGCGCCCATTTCTTACCCTGTGTCCTTTGGGGTCTTCTGATTTCCCGACAGGGAACCCTAATATTCCGAAGCCTCGTCGAATCCTGCGCTCAGCCTGGGGCAGCAACCCCTACTTCCGGGGCTCCTACTCATACACGCAGGTGGGCTCGAGTGGGGCGGACGTGGAGCGACTGGCCAAGCCCCTGCCACACACCGAGAGCTCCAAGACAGCGGTGAGTGCGCGGGGCCCGGTGAGCGCCAGCCTGTGGGCGAGGGGTTTGGTGTATGTGGGCGGGGAGGGGTGAGCACGTGCTGTCTCCAGGGTACGATGGGAGAGGGCTGGAAGAGAAAACCAGAAAATGTGCACTTAACATCTGGAAGAAAAGATGGAATCTGAGGTGTGAAATGCTTTCCTGAGGTATATGAACAGTCATTTAGTGCTGGGCCGTCCTATATGGCAGCGGTTAGCTGCACTGCAGTGAAGTCAGTATAGCTCAAATTGAGTGAATCAGTTAGAGATTAGTTCTTCAGTAGCACTAACCGCATTTCAAGTCCGGGAGCCACCTGTGGCTAGTGGCTGCCACAGTGGCTTGTGTAGTTACAGCAACTTTCCCTCATCATGGAGTTCTGTGGACAGCGCTGTCACCAGGAGTAAGTGTTCCCAATATGCCTTAGAAAATCAAATTGAGAATCATAGTTCTCTCTCAAATGATGTCAACTATGATGTTGGAGAGAAAATAATAAATCTGAGAGAAATAATTATCTCTACATCTCTGTTCCCGTAAAATGGCTTTTGTATTCCTGCTAAGCCAACGTTAAAATCCCAGCAGAACTGTTTAAAGCAATTCTTGGTGAAGGGGACTCGTCAAACCTCAGCCTGTGTGCCGTGCTCAGGGGGAGCAGAGAAGGCTCTCCCTGCCACCCAAATCACACCCCTGCAAAGAAAGCTAGCCTCTTGCCATCTGCCTCAGTTAGGACTAGTGCCATAACAGAAAGCAAAATGAAACAAAAATAAGACGGATGTGTCTCACACAAAAGGAAAGCTGGAGGTAGGTAGCATTGGCATCTGGCTTCCATCTGCACAGCCACCTCAAGAGGGCTGCAGGGGCTCCTGCTCTCACTTCTGCGTCTTAGGCTGCAAGGATGGGGCAGGCAGAGGGCTGTCAGCATCTTTAGACAACAGTGCCCTGAACTTACTCAAAGCTGATTGGCTAGAATGTAATCCCACGGCCACGCCGTGGCTAGTGAGGCCGAGACGTCATTTCAATTCATGATGGCACTGGAGCCAGCTCAAAATCAGGGCTTTGTCACTGAGGAGAAATAGGGGAATGGGTGTGGGAGGAGGCAGCTTGCCCTCTGCACAATACACCCCCATGGCTCAACCAGCTCTTTACTGGTGAGTTAAAGCCTCAAGACTCAGAGTGGGGGGTGTAGGTGACTACGAATAGCAGCCCAGTGTCACCTGCAGTAGAAAGGCAGGTGCCCAGGGCAGCCCAGGCTAGCCCAGCCCTGCTGAGTTCACAACTGCATTCTGTGGGGTTCCTAGAGGGTGGCTTCGTGCACTCCATTTGAGAGGCAAAGTCTGACTGAAGCCTGGAGAGGGAGCACTGTGCTCGGCAGCCGGCTTTCTCCAGGTGGATCCCTGGCTGTGGCAAAATTCTCACTGTCCCTCAAACAAGACCTGCTTGGGTGCAGTTTTGCCCTCTACTTTTTCTTCTTCTTGAAGCATCCTTTGCCTGTTTACTTACCTAATCTGTTCCAAGGAGCCATCCACACGTCCTGTTCCCTGGGAAGCTTTGTGCGTCCCCCTGACGGTGGGCCTCTTCTGGGCTCTCAGCAAGTTGCCCAAATACCCATCACGTCGCGTTTGACGCCGTTTAGTAATTGGGTTTCGTGTCTGGCTTCCCCACTAGCATGGAAGCTCCTCAAAGCAGCAGCCCGGTCACCTTTTATCTTCCAAGTGCCCAGAACAGTCCCTGGACCCTAATAGGGGCTCCATAAAGGTTTGTTAAATTATCGCCTAACTTTATCGAGTGCTTATGTTCTTCCAGGTTCTAAGTGCTTTGGTTTCATTTATCCTTACTACCCTCCTAGCAAGCAGGTGGTATAAATTCTATTTTGCAAATGAGAAAATTAAGTCTCTAAAACCACTTGCCCTGAGTTCACTAGCAAGAGGCACAATGAGTTTCTGAGACTGAGGAACCAGGACTCCTCAAAGCCTCAGAACAAAAAGATCTGAGACCCAGAAGTTTGGGGCAGAAGCAAGGGAAGGTGGCCATGTGGGATGGGCAACTCCTCCTCCTGTGGAAGCAGCAATACCTGCATCTCAGATGCCTGCTCACTCCTCTGTGACTCGTAGTAGGGACGGGAGGGCCTGGGGCAGACAGGTAGCCTCTTGACGTGTCCTGTTCCTCTGCCCCTCACCTTCCTGTCCCCTGCCCAGCCCATGCAGGTGCTGTTCTCGGGCGAGGCCACTCATCGCAAATACTACTCCACCACCCACGGTGCTCTGCTCTCTGGCCAGCGCGAGGCTGCCCGTCTCATAGAGATGTACCGAGACCTCTTCCAGCAGGGGCCTTGAGGGCCTCCTCACTGCGCAGTGTGGTCCTCAAAGAACCACTAACTCGTGACCACCAGCCCTGCCGCCTTGCTGTGTCCTCCTAATTCCCTAATCTTCTGTAGAATGGGTTTTCATCGTTCGTAGAGTAGACACCCTGACTGCTTCAGACCTGGCTCTGTAGCTCTTCCTTTTCTCCATGCCAGGTCTTGCCCAGGGTGGGGCCTGCTGATTTACCTCTGTGCTCTGACCTCTGACCTCCCTGTGCCTCTCCTCCCCTCCTGCCTTGTCATTGTAAGTGCCTTCAATACTTTGCATTTTGGGATAATAAAAGAGGTTCGCCCTTCCTGTGCTCCTCAGCTTCTCTCTTTGGTTTTCTGTTTTTTTTTTTTTGGGGGGGGAGGCATCCATCTGAGGGGGGGATGTGACCTGGTTTTGCTCCCAGCAGGGAAGATGCCTGCCTTTTCTGGAAGAGCTATCACCTCACCCTTATGTGTTGTGGTGATTTGTCTTCCTGCTGGTGAGGCCTCTCAGGGATAAAGACACCTACCTGAGCAGCTGCATCTCCTTCAGGCCAGACCTGGGCCTGTCCATGGAGTGCAGGCAGTTCCTGGGCGGGGACACCAGTTCTGACTCCATGCCAGGCTCAGGTGTGTTAATTATTAACCACTGGGCACAGAGCCCCAGGGTTGGCCCCGAGGTGACTGCTGTTGACTTCTGGGAAGGCAGTCTGCTCATTCCCCTGTATCTCAGGTGGCCCCCACCTGCTGTGTACCAAGGGCCTGTCACTTACTGGTGTCTTGTCTTTGCTGGGTGAATACACGCTGACAGACACATCTACCTGCAGATACATCGACACATCTTCTTCACTTATGGGTGCTTTTTTTTTTTTCAACACACCCCCCTTTGAAGGAGGGGATGTGGCCTGGCTGTGCCTGCTAATCCTACTGTTACATTGAAAATATGTCAAAAATGCTGCTGAAAGCACAGCCAGCTGCCACCACCCAGCACCTCAGGAGAGGATGGCACCACGGTTTCTGCCAAACACACGTAGTTTCACACCATGGTAAAGGTCTAAGTGGAACCACCGTAAGTTGGGGACTGTCTGTGCACACCCCTATATCTACTCCCTCACACACCCCTCCCCTCCAGATATACCCACCCACTCACAGCAGTGTCCACACACAGGCCTAGGACTTTAAAGAACATTTAGTCACTTACTCCAGATTTCTAGTGGAAGAATTCAAGTTTTGTAGAGTTGGAGGTGGCGGAGGGGTCAGAGGAGTTGTGAAAAGCCAGCCCTCTACTCCCCATCCCCCAGCCTGACTCTGTATGAGCTCAGCTTGGGTCCTTCTTGAAGTTTAGAACATTGGCCATGATAGGACTCCACCCCTCTGCCCCTCACCCCAGGTGATGGAGGAGATGCCAACATGTACACACCTTGACACCTGCCTACCTGCTCCCTTCCCCCAACCATGCACCCATTTTCCTGCTGTGCCAGGCTGGCCCACCACCATGGATTCATATTCGTGTCAGGGATTTCTATTTGCTGAGCCATAACTGTAAAAAGTCATAAATCCATACAAAATTTTTTGAATAGAGAAGCTAGCCATAGGGTTCAACTTCAAAGGCCATCAGAGGATTCACAGAAACATCCCCCTCAGCTGTGCCTCCAGACCCACGGCTGCTCCCTGCGATGCTGTTATTAATACCCTCTGTATCCACAATTACAGCTCAATATAAATACACACCCATCTCTTTCCTTTTCATACAAAAGTGACCAGGTGTGTCTCCTGGCTGCATTTTACTCATTGCGGTTAATGTATCTTGGAGCTCTTTCCACAGAAGTACTTGAACAGTGTAAATCTGGACCTTACTTTGGTCAGTGGCCTCCTTTCTGGCCCAGAGTGACTTTGCAGGAAGCACTTTTATTCATTCTGCCCTGGGAGGCAACGATCCAGCATGGACCCTCCCAGGTCCTGGATCTCCCCACTAACCACAGTGGGGTGGCTAGAAGTAGCCACCCTTGAGTACAGGGGAGCTGAAGTCAGTAATACAGGGCAGCAAGGGGCACTAAGAATGGCCATGGACACTGCCCAAATAGTTTACTGGTCACTGCCAGAGTTTTTCACCCACATGTGCAATTGCAAGGCTATTTAGGTTTAGAGAACAACAGTGGGGTTTATGTAACCAACCAGGGAAAAACAAAGAGTTACTGAGGCCAAATCTTTTTGGTTGTTTACCTCACCTGAAGCAGTGTCCAGTGTTTTAAAGTCCTAAATACAAATATTCCCAAGATGGCATCTTCCCAGAGCCAGACTCCAGGAGGCAGCCAGACTCCAGGAGTCAGCCAGACTCCAGGGGGGGTCCAACTCATGAAGACAGCAGGAGACACAATACGAGAAGCTCACCACAGCTGCCGAGATGCCCCAGCACAGCACCAGACAAGTGACACTCCACAGCAGCTGCAGTGTCTGCACGGCTCGGCAAAGGCCCACATTCACTACGCTGAGTGAGGCGCCTTCTCGGGGCCTCTGCCTTTTCCTTGCAGGCTGTCACAGCAGCGAAGCGGGAACAGTATCAACTGCTACTTATAAAACCTCAGGACATTTCCTCTCTGAGGTTGCTGGTGGAAACCTCTCCTGTAGAGGCCTACAACAGCCTTCTGGAAGATTGGCGTGGTGGGGGTGGAAATTGTTGACACTTGGATTCACTGAAGATCCCTAAAGACTCTAATACCAAAAGCTGAATCCCAGAACACTCAATCCCCGGGTGCTTCTGTAACCCCTTTTGTTTCTTATCAGCCTCCACCCCCAACAATAGCTTGTTCACATTTCCCTGGGGCTCTCCATGCTCACCGGCACCCCCTCCGGGGGCACCACCTGTAACAGTATCTAGCTGAAGCCACGGTTTTATGAGTAGGTTCTTGGGATCTTAAAGGTCTTCACAAGGATGAAAGAACCGGAAATGCAGGTTCGTTGATTGTGTGTTGAGGAGCTTCAGGTGTGAGCAAGAGGGCGGCAGAGAATATCCACTTTGTGCTGACGGCCCGCTGGGCACCTGTGGGCCATGACGACAGTGCACAGGGCATTTGTTTTCGTGCCAACTCAGGCGGCAGAGACCACTTCTCTTGGGGAAACGAGACCTCGAAAGCCAAGTAACACACGGGTGTCACTCAGGTAGGTGGGAGCTAGATCCGAGTGGAGGTTTGACTTCACAGTGCGCGCTCCTGTTTACTGCCTGGTGAAAAGAAGAGGCCGCTGCTGGGTGGAGGCAGAGAAGGAGATCTGTGGCCACTGCTGGAGGGAGTGGGACTGGGCATGGCCACACTGGGCACCGTGGGGCAGATTCTTCGAGAGCTGAACCTGTGCTGGCAGCACTTTTACCCCTGGGTGCACACCCAAGAGGAATAAGGGCCTATGTCTACCCGAAGAATGTGCTAGAACGTTTGTAGCAACATACTGATAGTTCACAATAGCTAAAATCTGGAATTAGCCCCAGTGCCCACGAGTAGGTGAAAGGGGGCAGTGCGTTCACACAGCGGAGTACCACACAGTAGCGGAGTATCACACACCAGCGGAGTACCACACACTAGCGGAGTATCACACACCAGCGGAGTACCACACACCAGCGGAGTACCACACACCAGCGGAGTAGAGGATTCGGTGCTCACAGTGACGCCTGGTCACCGCAAGACGCTGTTGAACGAGAGGCCAGACACTGGCTAGCGACTGTGTGTTGGCTTTTATGTGAAGTTCAAGAACATGCAAACCAACATCTGTGGTGTTAGGCATACCTGGCAGGGAGTATGGGAACTCTCTGGGGTTAAAGGAATGCCTTATATCTTGATTTGGTGCTGGTTGCGTGGGCTGAAATGCATCAGGTTCTACACTGAAGATTTATGCATTTTTTCTGTGTGTATCACAAAGTTTTATCTGAGGGTGCCCTTCCCCCTCTTCCCTCCCAGAAAGGATGGGCTCTGTGAATTTCCTCCTTGCTGTAGAGCTGATGCAACCCGAGAGCAGAGAAAGGGGAAGGACCTCTGTCCGCCCTGCTGGCTGCTGGGTGCTAAGGACCGTCTTGTGCTTAGGCAGGATTGCTCTGACCTGACCCCTTCCCTGCGTCCACTCATCTGGGAACCAGCAGCCGCCCGAGGGAGAATGCAGAGGAAGTTGAAGTTAGCAGACCTGTGTGAGGCTGTGCAGGGCTGTGCCCCTGGGAGACGGTGCCATTCCAGGCAGGGGTGGGGTAGGTGGAGCACAGGGATGCAGGAACAACGGGCATGCCTTGGGCTGGGTTTGGCGGGAGCAGTCAGCCTCACCTCCCCCTCTGTGTCAGATAATTGTGGGGGGAGTTAGCTGTGCAGCAGCGAAACCAGATTCCAGGCAGAGAAGGGAAAGCCAGAACCATTCAGAAGTGAGGAGAGATGGGTGTCTCAGGGACAGAGGTTGGGTGTCTTACTGTGACTGAGTTTTGGAAGCAGTGCTGGCATTGATGGGAACCCCACAGAGTCTATGGGGGTGCCTGAGCTGGCATGCTCAGGCCAACACCAACTCTACAGCTGCCCTCGCTGGAAAGGTGACGGGAGGGGGAAGCTCTTCCTTGGTACTGGGTTCCTGCAGAACTGGCTCAAGGTTTCCTGGGGTGCCGCAGCAGGGGGTCCAAAGTGTTGGCTGTGGCTTTGTGAAAACCTCAGAAATGTTTCCCAGGACCCCAGGGTCCTGGGGTCCTCGGTGGGTGCTGCCTCTCTGAGTCTTTGCAGGATGTTAGCTCCCACTTGATTCTTGGAGTGTCTGCCCCATCCTCAAACGATTGTAGCAGTGAAACACCTCCGGCTGGCACCACCCCGCATTTAGCAGGGCCTGTGGGGGTGAGCCCGGGGTGTGGGGAGTGAGACCCGCCGCTGACTGTTTCTGAAAACTGCCAGGGGGGTGAGTGGCCCTCCAGGCGGAAGAGTTACACGAGGCTGTGATTTCTTCAAATGACGGGCGGGGCAGCTTATTGAGGCTGATTTAGGTGGGGAGATCCAGCCTGACAAGCAGGAGGCGTGGCCTCACCGGGTGGGGGCGGGCATCCAGGCCTCAAAGTTTGTGCTATGTGCATATTAAATATAAGAGGACGATGGTCCTAGTCCAGCTCCAGACCATCAGCGTCTCCACGACGCGCCCAAGGTCCCGCTCACCGCCCTCACTTCCAGCGGAGGCTCGGAGCTCGGTGGGCTTCGCAGGAGTGTTCTGGCCTGGATCTCGGCGAGGGCACCAGGATGTCAGGCGTATCCCCGGCAGTGAGCTCAGCGTTTGTGCCATCTGCTCTGCGGGCTTGGGCGCTCCCCTGCCTCTCTCGGGCGTCC